CTGTTTCTTCCTCAGTCTCTGAAATTACAACGTCACTGTTAGAATGAAGATTATTGTTCAATAAAAATATGACATGTCTTATTTAACACTGTTCGTACCAATGTTTAATTTAGAACATGTGTGATCACTGGTCAGATCACTGGTCAGATCATTGGTCAGTGGAAGTTCTGCTGTTCTTCTCATCTGGTTCTGGTCCATGAACAACTGGTTGAACCTCCTTCAGTCTCACTCGTCCTCACTGTGTCTCTGTGAACTGTCCTCTTTCTAAATGTGTCTGTAGAGTGACATTAGTTTATTTTCTTGCACATTTCTTTGACAGTTAAACATTTTGAGCCCTGATTGAAAATGTTTGTGCAGATTAAATTTCCAGCTCTCACTTTGTGTTGTGTTGTGATGATGATGATGGTGATGGTGCTCCTGCTGACTTGAGATGATGCCATTAATAAACAGTATAAATGGCAGTAAAAGTACTTCATTAAAGCTTGTTTTACATTTTACATATTTTATAATAAATTGTTTGGAAATTTATTTTTGCACAGTTAACACTTATTTTGTCATCTGTTATGATTTTAACTAGAAACAGTTTCATTTAAATTAACATTTTAATCAATGAATTACAATTTATCCAATAGTTGTCAGGCTACAATCAACTCATTTATCCAGGTACTTGGTTGTCATAAAAAAAAACGACAAATACAACAATTATATTCAGGTCTCTCTTGTAAATGAGTCCTCGTGGCTCAATGGGACGAACCTGTTTAAATAAAGGTTGAATTAATATCTTCTATAGAAATCAAGAATTCATCCAGATGATCTAAGGTAAGCTGGAGCAGATCTGAACTGCTGGAGGACAAGGTGGAGCATTATCCTGCAGAGAACATCAGAAATAGCTTTATAACAGGTGTTACTCTGATCTTTTATTTTTATCGTGTGTAACCTTATAAAACACTGACATGGCTATACTGATCATTGTATTGCATATATAAAAAAAATTCTAACAAATATGTGTTTGCAGTCTCGTTTCCTTCTAAAATTTAATGATAAATGTATCAGCCGCTTCTAAAAATGCTTTGATAAAATGCATAGTCTGTGAAATAATCAGAAATCAGTTAAGTAATCAGTTTGTTACTGCTCAATAATTACTGAAAGACGCCAGGTAAAGTAAGAAAAGTCGATTTATGTGTTATGTTGCGCCAGCAGCTGCTCAAACTGACTGAAAGCAATGAGCTGTTTGGAACTATTGAGAGCTGCATGAACCACGTGACCGCGTATCGGCGAGTTCAAAGAGTGTTGCAACTCTCTCTTTATACTGTAGGGCTCTGCCAAAGACTGGATTAGCAGGAGGCATGGCAGGTCCAGATGTCATCATGGTGGTGGTACGTCCAGATGACAGTGCAACCTTAGACTGGTTATGCATATCATAAAGTTTTTTTATATAATAAAAGTAGAAAAATGAAGAGGACAAGCCAATATTAAAATGTTTAAAAACAGTTCTTAAAACATTTATTACATTTGGCAAATTTGAATAAAAATGTACTTAATCAAAAATGTAACAAACAATGTTTTAACTATACAATTTTACGTTTGACTACTGATTGTGATAGACAATAAAAATTCAAAAATTCTTGAGATCAAAGGTTTTGGAGTGCTATAAGAAGGAGTGATTCTCTATTGGTGGAATTGCTGTTATTTTTGCATGCTTTTTGGGAAGATTTTATGAGAGAAGTAATTTCTCTGGTAAATTTTCCAAAATGGAACTCATGAAAGGTGTAGTTATAAACAATGTTGAAGCATTCCTTTCAAAATGTGGCTTCAGAACTAAACTTAGCAACCAGTTAACCAACAACAATCTAAATAGATCCTAAAACAGCTTGGACTTAAGTCTAGCTCGAGAATCATCTGAAAGGTGAGACAGGAGCTGAACAATGCAAAGAAACACTGGGGAGTGCAGGAAACACAAGGCTTACAGAAAAGACAGGATAAAAACAAAAGTTCCCACAGCTATGCAGGAAAATGAAATCATAGTCTCTATAAAACTCCATAAAGTGCTTTAAAATTTCCAGATAGATGGATGTGCTGACTTTGAACTTGATAAAAACCCAATGGACCAACATCAGCAGATGACATGGCTCCACAAATCATCAGTGACTCAGAAACTTCAAACTAAACCTTAAAGTAACTTGGATTCTGTGCCTCTTCCCTCTTCCTTAATTTCCAAATGAAATGCAAAATTTACTTTAATCTAAAAAGTAGACTTGGAACCAATGAGCAACGGTCCAGTCCTATTTGTCCTCAGGTAAGACTCTTCAGGGGTTTCAGGTTCAGGAGAAGCTTGACACAAGGAATGCAACAATTGTAGCCAATCTTAGATTCATCTGTCTGGTGACTCTTGAAGCACCGTCTCCAACCTCAATTATCTCGTCAGTCTCCTGCAGATTCTTTAAAAGGTTTTCTGTCAAAATCCTCTCAAGGTTGCTGATATCCCTGTTCATTGTTCAAGTTCCAGTTCAAGTCAACTTTATTGTCATTTCCATCACATGTGGTACATGAGGTGAACAAAAATATTTCCACAGGGTCTCAGTTACACCTAAAACTAGCAAAATATAAAGTATAAAAAAACAGTAAATATGAACTAAGATATACACCAAGACATACGGTAAACAAACACCAAACAATATATTTGTATCATTGGGATCATTGTGTATCTTTTCCTACCACAGTTTTTCTTTCCACACATCCTTTCAGTATCATGCTTGGACGTACAACATTTTAGCAATGACTTGTGGCTCAACTCTGGATTGTCCCTCAGTGTGAGTGAGAAAGTGGATGGTTGTTTGTCTCGTTTGTCTCTATGTGGCCCTGTGATGGACTTGCGACCTGTCTAGGGTGTACCCTGCCCCTTGCACAATGATTGCTGGACATGGGCGCCGGTGACCCCAGTGACGCAAAATGGAAGAAGCGGGTAAAAGATGATGGATGGAAGGATGGATGGATGGACTTGTGGCTCACCCATCCTGTAGAGGCTGTCAGTGACTGTCTTCTGGACAATTGTCAAGTCAGCTGTATTTCTTAAGATTGTGCAGCTGATTGAACCAGACTGAAATATTATTTAAAGGCTCAGGACATCTTTCCATGTTTTATGAGTTTATTAACTGATTGCAGTGTGTTGACTATTGTTATGCTTCAATATTTACAGAAACAGAGTTTGGGTTTTGATGATTATAATCAAATGTAAACAGGTTTGAATGCCTATTTGATCAAATCTTTGGATTGAGGCAGAGCCCAAATCTCCAAGAAGGGCACTCTTTCATGCAGAGTAATGGAACACTGATGGACCCATGTTGCCAAAGTGCAGAAGGTACAGCATGTATGTGGATGTGTATCCGTGTGGTACATGAGTCATGAAATTTAAACAAGAAGTGAAAACCATTCAAGTTTGAAATAAACATATCTGTTCATAAAAATAACTTGCTCATTTAAAAAAGCAAAATTATAACAAGGGTTTGATATTTTCTGACACAACCTCTCCTGATTAAAATCTGGTCTCACCTCAAAGCTTTTGTTTTCCCAGTTGTTAGTGAAGTATTTGGTCATGGAGACACCATGACAATCAAAAAGTGTTTGTGGTGTTGGCAGCTCCATCTGTGAAGAAGAGTCGTTTCAACTAGAACATTCTAAATAAATTTTGAAGGGTCACTATGTAGCTACTGACCACATATCTAACATTTAGTTAAAAAAAATGTGTAAGACATGTAAAGAGAACAAAGGTCAAAGGAAACATTATACAGGTCCTTCTCAAAAAATTTGCATATTGTGATAAAGGTCATTATTACTTATAATACTGATGATTATGGCATACAGCTCGTGAAAACCCAAAATGCCTGTCCCAAAAAATTAGCATATCATGAAAAGGTTCTCTAAACAAGCTATTAACCTAACCATCTGAATCAACGACGTAACTCTAAACACCTGCAAAAGATTCCTGAGGCTTTTAAAAACTCCCAGCCTTGTTCATGTAGTGGACTAAGCCTACGTCGAAACCCAGTCTAAGGTCAAAACTCTTGACCTTTAGAACCTTGTGGGACAGAAGCTGTCATTTCATGTATTTGAATCCATAAATACAGGTTCACCCATCCTGAGACTTTCTTTCTTGAAGATTCAAGTGAAAAGAACACTCTCTTTTTATTATCATTACTATCTTACAAATGTTGATAATCAAAGTGTCTTAGTTCAAACCATTTTAGATGTTGCAGTGAACTAATCAATTTTATTAACTGAGTAATGATTTTTATTCTCATGTTAAAAGCTGTTGCAGAGTAATTATGCATTTTTCTGATTTCTGCTTTTGAATGAGCAAGTGTGTGCGTTTACAAGGTTACAGTCAAACGAAAAACAAGTTGTTATGTTGAAACTGTCATGTTTTAGAATCCTCTCAGACGTAAATAGAGATGTTTTGCACCTGTTTCTTAAACACGCCACAACAAACCCTCTCGGTCTGTGAGAACATTTCTGAGCTGTCCCATAACAATTCTCGCTGTTTCTAACCTCTTACGTCACAAAAACACACCCCTTCTGGTCGTTTCTGACCAATGAAAAATCCCAAAAAGTGAACCGGGAAAGAGTCTTTAAAATGTCAGTACTTCCTGGTCTACACAGACTCACAGGGACACGGAGGGACTCACAGGTACTCAGGGAGTGACTTACGACTCACGGAGTTACAGACTCACAGGTACCCAGAGTGACTTACGACTCACGGAGTTACAGAGTTGGAGAGTTGTCAGACTTCAAGAGTTCTGTGGGAGTTCTGTAAACTACACGAGAGCTAAAGTTCTGATGGAGTGCTGTTGGAGTTCCTGACATGACAGCAAAGCTCTTCCGAGTTCCATGGGATTATAACATTTTTCCACTGAGGTGAATGTGTGTCGAACAGAGCCTCGCCACTACTTCTGACGGGCTACAGCCATTCGAAGGAGACGCTGGACCGGTAGCGTTAACGGAACACCATATCTGCTGATTATCATCAGAGAGGTAATGGGTCAAGTTTCCTACCAAGCGTACCGAGGCGAGCTGGGCTTCTGATGGAGAGTGTCGGTTCTGGTGACCATTCAATTTCCCTCAAACCCCTTCCTTTACTCCCTCTAAACTTCTTTCCATCTTTAAACTTTCCTATGAAGTAGAAATTCTCCCAGATATTTAGAAATGTCTGTGTAAAGTGCTTATTCACATCCGTGTGGGTAAAAGATCATAGTTGTACAGTTTATAAATGTCTGTGGTGCAGCAACGGTAAAATCATGGCCGTATGATTTTTCCTGATTGATTGCTTATGTTGTTATTTTCATAATTTGCCAAATTAATGTAAATGTTTGATGTTAAATTTGATTCTGTAAATAAATGACCGCATTCATTTTGATGGGTCAAATTTAAATGACGTCTCACGTTTGCATTTCCTTAAACTCAATGCACGTTTTATTCAGTCCAGAAAAATGAGGAATCCGCGTTAAATGATGAATACATCCCAGCATCTGTTCATCTACAACTGGTGGCCCGTCACGTGCTCATAAATGGACTGTAACTCGTGTGCTAATTGATTTTCATGTTGGCATGTGTTGTAAAATAACAGTTGAATCCGTGCGTCTTTACGCAGCGCAATTGGAGCTGCGCGCTTGGGTTACGCTGGCAATGTTTTAAAAGCTGAAATTGTGTCATTGAGTCTTTATAAAGCTGAATTGTACGTCTGTATGTGTAACATAAGCTGGCTTTGAGCTGTGGAAACGCTTTATTCTGTTTAAACTGTGTTCTGACGCTGTTCTGGTCCGATTCGGTTCTGGTTCCGACTCGGTTCTGGAGCTTCGAACGAGTTGTTTTAAATAGCTAGAAAGACGTTTTGTCACGGAGCGCCGTTCTCTGTGCAGCTCAGGGGGTTGATTCGTTACATTTTTAGCAGAGAAAGTGCATTTTGATGGTTTAAAAGACGATAAGTGATGAAATAGCTTCAGGCTGAATTTAACATGCTGGTTATTGCTAACGCTTCGTGGTTGGTTGTTTGCTGCTGTGGAAAGCTCTGATTTGCTGAGAAAGGTTGACTGACGTCACCTCCCCTCACCCCTACGCTGCGTCATTGGTTGAAAAAGACCGTGTGTAACGTTCTCATTGGCTGATTGACGCGTCAATCACGTCACCCGGAAATGAAATTCGTTTTCATAGGGAATAAAATCTGCTTTTTAACGCTGGAAAGCGCATTAAAGCTGTGTTCTGAAACGCTGTTTACATTCTTCGAAACATATTCGCTGAAAGTTCGCCACGTTTGAGTTTAAAGACCGTCATAAAATGGTGCTTTTGAACTACGCTAGCGATGCTAAATTTTAAGCTAACAAGCTAATGACCGGATGGATGACGTGTCACGTCACTTCCCCCAAGTCGGAAATGAGCTTTACCGTGCTTAAATTCACTAAATACGGCTGCGATTTTGTTCCACAACACTCATGTTTCATGATATAAGGTCTGATTGAAAAAATTTTGCCACGTTTGTGTAAAAAATCCGTTCAGAAGTGTTGGTTTTCACCGAAGCAAGCCGATGCTAATTTTAGCTAATAAGCTAACGACCGGACGCCACAGGAAGTTATAGCACCCCTAGTGGACGACACAAACAGTGTCTGAGTTAAAATTGTTGAGGATCTGCTGACATCTTGTGGAGAAGACGTGGGATCACAGGTTTTCACTTCGTTTTTAGGTAAAGAGTGACATTAAACGTTTTATTTTTCTGAAAGGCATTTTTTGAGTTAAAAAACTTCCTCAAAGCTGAATATACACTGTTATCTTGCGTTTTAAAAGTTATGAAGGTATTTATGCAAAGGGCTTTTACCAAACAAATTTTTATTCACTGATAAATCCTTGAAAAATAGGTACATAATAAAAATTTAGGAACTTTTAAATAAGATACAGTTACAAATATTCACAGAGTTGAATAGTTTACTCATTTTGCTAGAAGATAGCGCACGTTTAATTGATAATTCACTAAATAAGAGTAAAGCTTATCAGGAAAAAGAGATTTTCTGATTTTCTTTTGCCACCTAAACATTTACATCTACTATTTAATTTCTAAATAGCAGATAATGGCGGACGGAGAGGGAAACACTGACCCCTTACGATCCGAGGATGTGGTCCAGACAGCCTTACACATTTTAACAAATTCAATTATTGGCAAAAATTTGGAGGAATTGCAAGACCTTGATGACGATCAAAGACATGAGGAGCTGCAGAGTTTATCAAAAGCAGCTACAGTGAAGGAAGACGCAGAATCAAGCCGCGTACGGTTAGCAAAAATCTCTCTGCTTCTGAAGGCGGAATTAGACCGTTTGGTAGTGGAAAAGGGCGTGCTATTCAACGGATATAGGTCTGAAAAAGAGAGGTGTGACGAATTGATGATTGAATCTGAGTCGCTGCAGCAACACCTTGAGGCTGCTGAAGACCTCTCAAAGAAAGAGCTGTCAAAACAGGCTCAATCATATGAGGAGAAGTGTGCCGAGCTGATAAGTGAATCTGAGTTGCTGAAACAAAAGATTCAAACTGATAAGGACCTCTCGAAGAGAGAGCTGTCAGAACAGGCTCGATCATATGGGGAGAAGATTGCGGATAAGGAACGAGCGTACCAAGACGCGTGTGCAGATAACAATGAGTTACAAGCACGGTTGCAAACCGCTTTAAGGGAGCTGGCCGATTGCAAGGCAGAAAAGGGGTTAATAACCCGGAGTTGGCTGACTTTACAACGTGAAAATCGGTCAACAAATGAGCGTCTGGCAGCTTGTGAGGAGAATTTAGCTACAGCTACAAACCTGATTTCTAACATGGAGCTAGCTGGCTCGAGACTCAGAGACGAGCAGGGTCAGCTACAACCACCCCAGACAGGTGCTGTTGCATCTCCTCCCCTTAGCCCCGTTTCAACACCCCCAACCCGGGGGATAAGGACGGGTCTGCACCCACCTGCACCTCTTCCTCCTGACGCCAGGCAGTCAACTCCACCCCCATCTCGGAGGGTGGGGACGAACCTGCACCAATATGCACCTCCTCCTACCAACCCTTATCAGCCACCCCCACCCCCACCATGGGCAGTAGGGGCAGGCCTTGATCAGTCTGCACCACCAGTCACACAAGTTAGACCGGTGATACAGTCTCCTTCAATGGATGACTTGCAGAAAATCTCAAAATATGTACAACGATTTGTTCCCGGGCCTATGGGGTCAGCAGGAACAAAAGCGTATCTCAAAGATCTGGAGTTCAGATTGAGATCTTATCCTAATGCTACGGTAGACGATAAGATAAGTCTGATGCGGCTCACTTCAGACAGAGAGGTGTTCACCTTCATCGAGCGTCTACCTGATGCAACGAGGAGGGATTACAACCTTCTGTGTGAAGCTTTGATCAGAGAGTACGACCCCTGCACGGGGCCTGCTGGTTTTCCAGCCGCAGACAAGGTCACGCAGGGCAAGACTGAACATCCAAAAGTTTATTACAAAAGAATCTTCCAAGCCTATTTTGGTAACAGAAATGAGACCGGAATGGAAGAAGATGATGGTTTTAAGTTTGTTTTCAGCAAAAATCTCCACTCTGATTTTAAAAAATCAGTACAAATGATGGCAAATTTCAGAGAAAAATCCATCAGTGAGATTAAGCAGTGTGCTGTGAATGTGTTTGAAGCATGTTCTCATGCTAAGACGCCCAT